GCTGCGATGATGGGCTCAAGTATAGCAGGGATTGTGGGGCTGGCGCGGGATCGGGCAGTGTTTCGTTCTGCTGTGCATGGGTTCGCTATGAGTCGGAAATGACTCGACGGCACTTAACAACCACCACCACCTGAGGATGCTGGGAGTGCAGGATCTAGCAGGAAGCAAGAGGCCAGTTGGAGTGACAGAAGCAGTGCCTGCCCCGCCCCACCCCACCCCCAACCTGGACTCCATCTCAGTTGCCATGGAGACGACGCCATGTGTGTCAGCAGAACCGCCGCTGAGCGTTTCCAGTGGCTGATTTTTCAGGAGATCACTGGGCCTGTTTCCTGAGGCACCTCTCAGTGGACTTGAACTGCCAGACCTTTTGTTAGCAGCTGAGTATTTGATGGAGAGATGGGTCTCTCCATCTTACAAAAGGTGAGGCTGAAAGGTCTTCCCCGCTCTAAAAGACGCCAGTAACTGCCGCTTTGTAGCCTGGATGGTCATCGCTAACCCCTCCTAAGAGTCTAGCTCCATTTTACCACTTTGTCAAGCAGGCATTTTTCAAAATGGTGGCAAGAACCAGGACTTTCTGAAAGGGGGTTTGGGAAGCCTTTTTTGTCTTTCCCCAAACAAGAAGAGCCCAGGTGGGTTGGTTATTTAGCAAGAGCAGAGGGCTTCTAAAAGAAACGGTCTTTAATATAAGACAGGAGCTGCTGGCAGGAGCAGGGCAGGCTGCTTCCAGGAGCTCTCCAACACCTGATGCCAGTAAGGAGGTATGAAGCGGAAGCCAGAAATAGCTGCCATGAGCGTTTCAGAGAGGAGGCAACAAGGCAGCTGGAGGGGGTGCTGCTTCTGGCTGGAGACTTCTGGGAAGGAGCAGGGAGGTGGGGAGCTGAATAAGCCATTTGCATGTTACCTAAAGCTGCCTTCGGTACAGCAAACCTGTGAAAGCTGTAAGGTGGGGATGTGTCAGAAGGAAAACAAGATTTTCCACTGAAGCAAGCACTAGAAAAGTAGTAAGACTGCACCCTGTCAGAGGCAGAGAACTCACGGGACCCAGAAAACAAGGCAGTCCTGTTGAGTTATGGCTCTCACAGGTTTCCCTGTGTATTACTGTGATTCTGTGGAAAAAACGCAGCCACAAACAAGAGATTAACAGGAGAAAAAAACACAATGATGTCACCACAGTAGCAACACGGCCGGACACAGATCAGAATTCTTAGGCCTTTAAGACTAAAGCAGTGAAAAGCTGCCTACCCTCCAGCAGAGACTGTTTCTGGAACTTGTCTGAGTGCAGTGAGCCGGGACACGTGAATTCCCTGCCGCGGGAAAAGCGCGGGAAGGAGAGTGCAGCCTGAGCTATGCAAACACAGACGGACACTGGGAAGAGTGTGTGTATGTTTTTTAATGTTTGTTTTAATGTTTGGTCCTCAGTCGTCAACACAGCTCTTCTCAAAGGGGAAATCCTGACTTCAGCTCCTGATCACACGGGCTCTGCCCCAGACCTGAGCCCACTGGCAGCCTGGGTGTGCTCGGAAGCTGGTGGCCACACACAGGGCCCTTCCCTCCTTGTGAAGTGCCTGCGCAGAGCTGCTGTGCCTTGGGGCCCTGGACCTGTCTGTCTCGAAGGAGCTAGAGACAGGAGCTGGGAGGGAAGCATGACAGCCTAGGGCCAGTGCTTGCCTGAGACCCCACCCAGGTCTCCAGAAACAGCAGGCGCCCCGGCAACCCCAGCACAGGTCACAGGAGCAGCAGAGGCAACTGGGCCAGGAAGCAGACCCATGGCTTCTGCCGAGTGGACAAACATCCTGTACCTCAAACGCCAGAGGTACCAGGAAGCCCTGAAGTCCCCGTGGAGTGAGGTCAGATGCAGCTCTCTCTTGTGGGGTGATCCAAGTAGCCTCTCCTTTTTCACAGTGTGGTTAGGGCGTGGGGCGCCCCGGTGCATGGAGGGCATCACTGGCCTGCCTCACTGCTGAGGCCCTGCAGAGAAGGGTGAGCGGATGAGTGCACACCCATGTGTGGTGCCCCCAGGCAAGAGGGACAACGGGGCAGGCCGAGCGCATGGTGGTGGGCCTGGTGCAGGGACCCCAAAGCATGGGACCTCCCAGGAGTAATCAGTTGCTGGAAAGGTTCGGCTGAAGTCCTAGCTCCTGACACCTGTGAAGGTGCCCTTGTTTGGAAAAAGGATCTCTGAAGGTGTTATCTACCCGTCTAGGACACAGAGGGTCCTAATCCAATCTGAGTGGTGTCCTATGAAACAGACGCACAGGGAAGCTGGCTGTGTGAACATGGACCCCCAAGCCAAGGAGTGCCTGGGGCTGCTAGAAGCTGGGAGAGACAAGAAGGCTGTGCCCTAGAGCACATCCAGCTGGCACCTCAATTTCAGACTTCTGGCCAGAACCAGAAGAAAACAGGCTGTGGTTTCAGTCGCTCACTAACAGCCTCTGGCTCCTCCTGGCGCACAAGGTGCCCGGAGACTTTGGCCAGGATGTCCATGATTGTAACCAGCCTGAGGTGACGTTAATTAAGACTAAAATTTAAAATGTGAGTGCACTTAAAAGTAGGAAGTAAATCCTAGCACAGGCGTCTACAGAGAACAGATGCGGAGGGGTGGGTGGCACGGAAAAATCGCTCTCGCCTGTACAGAAGAGCCTCCTGTCAATCATGCCCTGAGTTCAGGGTTCCCACTGTCTGGGGCAAAAGATGCTGACAGGTATGGTAAGAGTCTTGGTTCTTCAGGCCTGCTGGGAGGCCAGCTGGGGCCTACCTGTTCGTAATCTTCCACGTATTTGTATTTCTTGTCCCGGTAGTAGTATTTCTTCTTCATGCAGTAGAGGACTATGACATCACACAGCACTGTCGCCTGGATGGGCCCAGAGGGAGAACAGGCCAGAAAGGCTGAGGGGCCCATTACTCTGTTAATGCCCCGTCCCAGGCAGCCTGCAGTCTATTGGGAAGGAAAGGCCTGTCATCGGGAAAGGGAAGGTGGAGGAGGGGATGAGGGTCACAGGCAATGGTGTCACTAGGTTTGGTGTCATCCAGTGCAGGAACTCATAATGTCACCACCCTGTGGATGGAGCCAGTGAACCCCTCCCCTAGTGGGTGGAGTGACCGGCCCCCTCCTCCCCTGACCCCAGGGCCATGCAGTGAAGTCCCACCCCCTCAGCCCCCCACAGCTCCTCCTCTCGCCCATTGTCCTAGGTGGAGACTGCCCAATGGCAATGGCCATGGCCTGCCCACGTGCACACTGGCTGGGTGGGTGGGTGGGAGGAGGTAGCGCGTTACCACCCTGGGTGACTTGGGGGTGACAATCCTACTGACTCCACTGCCTTGGTGGGCCCTCCTCCTGCCGCACTGGCCTGCCCTTGCCTCGGACCCTGAGGTCATTTTGGTGTCACCCCTTCTGACAGTTTCATCACAGGTCATGGGAAGGAAGTCTAGACCAGATGGCATCTAGGGTCCCCTCTCTGCTGAGGAGGCCCGGACCCCTCGGGGGTGAATATAAAGGTCAGAATTACTCACGACTCCCAACAGGGCCAAGCCGGAGCCCACGTTGATCATGGTGGGGATGATGTCAAATTTCCCAGCCTGCAGATGACAGCAGAGAAACAGAGCTGTGTGATGGCAGTGAGTTTGGTTTTGGTTCTTGGTAGGGGCCGGTGAGAGCACACAGGGCGGGCCTGGGCGCCAACAGAGAGCAATGGACGAGGCTACCTTTCCAAACACGATGATGTCGAAGCGGATTCCGTAGGCCTTAACAAGGGTCCGGTGCTCCTTGCCAGCTGGGCTGTTATAGTACTTGGCAAACCTGGGGGAAGGAGGAGCCGTTAGAGTCACACAGCATGGGCTGGGGGCCAACACCAGATGTACTGCTTTGTGCCCGGCAGAGGGAGGCCTTGGTGGTACTCCCCCACTACTGCAGGCCTCGCTCTGGCTTAAGGTTCACTCTGCCTGCCGAGCAGGCTCAGCCTGGCAACCCTGGTGCCTCCTGCTAATGTGGGCCATACAGTCACAGGGCTGGCCCCATGACAGGTGGGCCAGGATGCTGGCAGAGGGCACAGGGAGAACTCCGCACATCATCAGAACAAGGCAGCTCTAGTCGGATTCTTCTGCCCTGATGGTCCTTCCTGATATGGCCAAGCCACCTGCTCCTCTCAGAGAGACCCTGGCCACCAGTGGGGCAAAGTGACAGCCAGCACAACCTCCAGGACCACATAGTGGGTAGGGGTGGCAAAGTCAGCTACAAAACTCACAGCATCAGCACCAGACTTTTTTAAAAAAAAGACTGATCCACCAGAAGATGAGAGGATATACCCAGTGTGCCCTAGCCAGAGGTGGAATATTACCCAGTCATGAAAAAGGAATGGAGTTCTGATGCATGCAATGACATGGATGAACCTCAGAGATACTATGCTCAGTGAAAGAAGCCAGTCAAAAAAGAACAAATAGGGTATGTTTCATTCAGAGGGAGTGTCTAGAAGAGGCAGATTGACAGAAAGTAGTTTAGTTGGTTGCTTAGGTCTGAGGGGAGTAAGAGCATAGGGAGGTGATAGCTAAACACTGGGGTTTTGGGGGCATGACAGATGACTTAGAATTAGACAGTAGTGACGGGTGCAAGTCTGTAAGCATACTGAAACGCCACTGACTTGCAGCTTTAAATGGGGGAACTGCAGGGTGTGAATTTTATCTCAATAAAGTTAAAAAAAAAAAAAAAAAGGGCAGGCGTAGAAAACCGTTGAGTCATGATACCATGTGTTGCTGTGTCACATGGAGAGCCACCCAGGAGCTTACACCCTAGCCCCGTGCCCCGTGACCCTCTGGCCCAGATGTCCTGGTCAGGCCTAGAGACTTCGGGTGGGCCCAGAGGTTGGGGCTGGTGTCCTTCTAGAGTGTCCTACCACTTCTTTGTCTAACCCAAACTTGAGGTTCTCCACAATTCACAGTGGTTTCTACAAGAACTGGGTGACAGTCAAGATGGGGCAACCCAAATCTAACTGCCCTGCTAGGAAAAAAGTCAAGAACCTGCCTGAAGTCTCCCAAGGAGATCAGAACAAGTGTGTGACTGAAATTTTTATAATCCCATGGGTATTGATTCCATGTATCACCACTAGAGGGAGACAATACAATACAAAAACACCACTGACCTACTAAAACCAAAAAAAAAAAAAAAAACAAAACAAAACCAAACTCACTAGCGGGATCCGACTCAGTGACCACTCCTTGGGTTTCCGAGGAGGTATCTCTACGGAAGTAGGTTGCCCAACCTGCCTTCTGAGGTGTGGCTAGTGGGTTTGAACCGCCAGCCTTCTAGTTAGCAGTCAAGTGCCTTAAGCACTCACCACCAGAGTGCCCACTGGCCTACTAAGCGTGTTCCTATTTCTGGGAAGGGCTGTTTCTGTCTGTCTGTCTCTTCTCCAGAGAGAGGGGAGAGCAGATGTGCCCAGGGGCTGGGTTGGGGAGCTGCTGTTGTTGCTGAATCAGTTTGGGCCCCTGGGGAACCCACATGTGCAGTGTATAACGGCCGCATAGGGTTTCCAAGCCTGTGACCTTTTGGAATATCGCCAGGCCTGCCGTCTGAGGCACCTCTGGGCTGCGGGGTGGGGTGGGGCTTGAATTATCAACCTTTAGGTTAGTACTTGAGTGCTTAACTGTTTGTACCGCCGAGGAGGGTGTTCCAGAAGTAGACACTGGTGATGGCTGCCCAATGTGGTGAATGTAATTAATGCCAGTGAGTTATACACCTCAAAAATAGCTGAAACGGCAAAATTTATGTTACGTATATTTTACACGCACATAAAAAAGCCACCTTCCCTTTGGCTGCACTGAGTGTCGGGCTCTGCCAGTGGCCATTGCCTGCTGCCTCAGGCAAGAGAGGGCCTGGAGGCTCTCACCGGCCAGGGTGCCGTGGCTGCTAGCCCCTGCTCGGGACCCGCCCCTGCAGATGTATCTTATGCATTTGGACAGGAGAGGGGAGCCCATTCTTGGTGGTGTTGCAAGGCTCCGGTTTGGGGCTGGGGGCAGGCACTGTCAAGAGGCCCAGTCACAGTCACCCACTGACCCCTGGGACACGGGCCCCAGGCTTGCCCCACCTGAAGTTGTAGCCCGGGGACACGTTGTGGTCGGCGTCGCGGTTGTCAAGGCGGCGGAAGGAGTACCTGGGCAGGCAGAGGGCGGCAGCCCGGTCCAAGTTGCAGTCCCACCTTATCTGGATGCCCATGATGCCGCCCTGTGGATTTGAGGCGGACAGAGCACGGGCTTGGAGCACGTTCGGTGCGAAAGGCGCGGGCAGCAGACTAGCGAGGCCCACACCTACCTCCACGGCCATGTCCTGGAAGCTGTGTCCCGCGCTCGCCACGATTTTGCCCAGACGGAAGATGGGGCAGAAGGGATCTGTTTCCGCATCGTAAATGCAGGATTTGAGGTAGGAGGTGTTGATGGTGGGCAGGATGTTCCTCCTACAGCCGGGAGGAAGCGGATGTGGCAGCCGGGCAGCCCCAGGGAGGAGAGCCAGGTGCTTCCCCGCGACACCCAGGGACTCTCACCTGGCCACCACTTACTTGCTGAAATTAAACTTGGGATACCAGATGTTGTTCTTAACCAAAAGGGTGAAGTTTTCTGCAGCCTTTAAAAAAGCAGGCCTAAAAGAAATTTTAACATTATTAACAAAAGTATAAGGGTATGTATGTGTGTGTGCATGCATACATACATATATAACCTGCTGCACTTGAGTTGATTCCAATTCAGAGTGACCCTAAAGGACAGAGTAGAACTGGCCCCTATGGTTTCTAAGGCTGTAATCGTTACGTGAGCAGACTGACACATCCTCCCCCAGAGCAGCTGGTAGGTTCAAACCACAGACCCTTCAGTTAGCACCTGACCACTCGCCCACTGCCCCACCAGGGCTCCCTATCTATACAGCTACATCATCCATGTGTATGTTGCTGTCTTTATATATAATTATATATAGTCCCTGTGTGGTGCAAACAGTTTCTGCTTGACCGCTAACCCCAACCTAAACACTGGAGGTCTGAACCCACCCAGAAGCACCACGGAAGAAAAAGGCTGGTGATCTGCTCCCATTAAGATAACGGCCAATAATGGGGGAGGGAGGACTCAGAAAAGGAGGGTGCGAACGGTTGCACAACTCCAAAATGTAATCGGTGTCACTGAGCTGGACACGCAGAAACCAGTGAGCTGGTGTATGTTCTGCTGTGTCTATTCTCAACAACAACGAAGGAAGTGAAAGGAAAAACTACAGCCAAGGAAACCCTGTGGAATAGTTTTATGAATCAGCTCAAGAGCAACTAACACCCCCCACCGCCACCCCCACCCCCTCACACACAGGCAGTAATATTTTTTAAAAACACACACATGCATCTTGCAGTGTTACTTGTAAGAAAAAAGTGAACCGTCTCTAGGCTTTCTACTCTCCTGTGCTTGAACAACGGTCGAGAGAAGAGACTTTCAACCAAGCCTGCCGGTCTCCCTCACATAGAAGGGCAGGGCTGCTTCATGGCAGTTAATTCTTGTTGTTGTTGTTGTTGTTGTTGTGTGTCGTCAAGTCAGACCTGACTCATAGCGACCCCTCCTTGGGTTTCCGGGGCAATATCACTACGGAAGTAGATTGCCCCATCTTCCTTCCGAGGAATGGCTCGTGGGTTTGAACTACCAGCCTTCCGGTTAGCAGTCAAGTGCCTTAGGCACTACGCTACCAGAGCTATCCCCTTCACGGCAGTAGGCGTGTATAACCTGAGGCTCAGCGCCGGGCGTCTCCGGCCTCCCTGGAATCCTTCAGCAGCCAGCCGGTGCATTTCAGGCTTTGCCCCCGTGTGGGGGTGCTCAGGCAGTGGAGACAGATCTGGTTTACAGGTGAAACCAAAGGTGACTTCACCTGCAGTGGCTGCTTCTCAGAAGTGCCCACAGTGGCTCTTGTTTACCCTTCAAGCCTGGAACTGAACCCACTCCCAGGATCACCTTTCAGCCACACAACAGCCAGCCTTCTAAAGTGAACGGTAACACCTGTGAGGAACGTGCTCTTCAGTACGATCTACTAGATGAGACCAGAAAGGCAGCATTCGCCCAACAACAACGTTCAGAAGGCAGGCGGCGGCAGGAAAGACAGGCAAGTGGAAACAGGGAACCCAGGGAGGAAGTGGGACATGTTGTCGCGTTGAGGGATAGCAACTGATGTCATGAATCAAAATATGTACGAATTGTTGAGTGGAAAACTAATTTGCTCTGTGAACTTCCACCCGAACCACAATAAAATGTTCCAGGGCAGGGGGTGGGGGTGGGGTGGAAAGCACACAAGAAGCGCCCCTCCCTTCTTGGAGGTACCACGTTAGCTTCTGGCTTCCGGCTGCTCTGAGTTGGATCTGCCCTCGAGGGGACCCTACTTTGGATTTCTGCGGGTGAATCTGACACTCGACCAACCCCTCTGCTGGGGGAGGCCTTGCCAGATCCAGGTGGGATCCCTGAAGTTATAAACAGTGACTGTGAGACGAGAGCAAGACAAGGACAGGCAAGGCGGAATTCACCCCCACCCACAGCAGTGGGCTCAGGGATGACGTGAGGACAGACAGGTCTAGAATCTCTGTGGACAACTGGGAAGAGAGACTCTGCTTGGGGGGAATGTAAGCCCAGAGCTGCCCCAGGGACGCTTCTCTGGGTCCCATCAACACTGAAGGAAGTAGAGCCAAGATGGGGGAAGACCCTGACGCTGTGCTTTTGAGCCCCGGATCTACCTACACTGGTTAACTCCCTCTGCTCTGTGTGTGTGCATATGTGTGTGCGCATATGTGCATGTATGTATATGCATCCATGCATGAATGTATGCATGTCTGCGTATGTGTGTGCATGAATGTGTATGGAGATGTGCATGTTTGTGTTGCATGAGTGTGTATGCATGTATGCATATGTGTATGTGTATGCATGTGCATTTGTATGTCTGTGTGTATGCCTGAGACACTGAGGACTGTGTTTCCTGTCTGCTCTTTGCAGCTGACAGAGTCCTAGGATCCCAGTAAGTCACCTGTACACTCATCATACGTGACAAGCCCCATAGGCCACCTCGCCTGTCCTCATCACTGCACAGTAGTTGAGGAGCACTGCTGTAGAGGAGCTCCCCCACACACAGACACCAGGAGCCCAGGCTTCACTTCCTGCCGCTGCCCCTCAGTCCAGAACCTCTGTTCAGGGCAGGTCCTTCCCCCACTGGACTCACTTGGGCACATGGTTGTCATCTTCCACAGGGCACCAGGCTGCCACCTCACATGTCTTCACGGTCCCATTGAATGGCACACATCTTCCTGTTGCAACTCCTATGGAAACGGGGAGACATGGGTCCATGGGGGTCTCATTCTCTGCCTTTGTGGGGATGGGCATCTTCTTCAGGTAGAGAGGAAAAGCCCCATCCTCTGAAGGCATCTTGACTCTGGGAAGGAGACAGTGTCCAGGAACTGCAACTGGAGGATGGTGCTGGCCTGAGTCTCACACGTATCTGTGCCAACTGCAGGGCCTGGGTCAAGCTGAGCCCCAGGACAGAGAACGCTCGGGGCTTGGGTGACACTGGTGAGAGCACGGAGGGCCCGGGGCCTCGTGAGGCTGCGGGGGAGTTGGTCCCTGAGATTCTCTATTAGAGCAGAGCCCCGGGAGCAGATCCCGTCGGGGGCCTACCCCTCTGGGTCTCAGTGCGTACCCCTACCATTGCTGTGGGTGCCTGCAGAACCTGCGATGCAGTGGGCATCTGACTCACACACAGTGGTCTTATCTGGAATCTGGAAAAAGAGAGAAAGTGAAAATAAGCTCCATGTAGCCCAGCCCCACATGTAGCTAGACAGGCTCAGAGAGGGAGGCAAGCCGCCTTCCTGAGATGCCACTTACCTCAGGACAGACGTCCTGGGTCTGGTTCATGGTGATGATCATGTTGGTCATGACAAAGAGTGAGTTTTCCTCCTGCAGAGCAGGGCGAGAAAGGGGCACCACCGTGTGACTCCTCAGCAGAGTCAAGCAATACCCACCAAGAAAGTCAGATGCTTACAGAAGAGGATGGTACCTTTCCCTTCTCCCACATGCCACGCAGAAACCAATGTAGATGACTCCCTCATGAGCGTCTATAAGCTAATGCAAACAGGCCTCCAACAGATACCTGTCCACCAGTGTCCACAGCAGCACTGTTCTCAGCCAAAGGTCAGTCAGAAACAAGCCAAGTTTCCATCAGCAGATGAATGGCTAAGCAAAGTGTGAGCCATCAATGCTGTAGAATATTACTCAGCCATGAGAAGGAATAAAATTCTGATACATGCTACCACGTGGATTAACCTTGAAAACATCATGCTGAGTGAAAGAAGCCAGTCACAAAGGCCACATGTTAAATAAATGCATTTATCCGAAATATCCAAAATAAACAATCTCTAGACACAGATAGTAGATTAAGGCATTTGGCTGCTAACCCAAAGGTTAGTGATTTGAACTCACCAGCTACTCCACGGAAGAAAGATAGGCAGTCTGCTTCCGTAAAGATTTATATCCTTGGAAATCCAACAGTGGTCTCTATGAGTTTGTTTTTCTGAGGGCTGGTGGGGTGGAAAGGAGGGTGACTGCTAATGGGCATGAGGTTTCCATTTTGGGGGATGAAAGTACTTTGGGATTAGTAAGTGGAGTTCATCACCTAACACTGTGAACATACTAAATCCCACTGAACTGTTTAAGATGGTTCATTTCATGTCACATTAATTTCACCTCAATTAAAAAAAATTGAGTCTATAACCTGAACAGGTTCTTCAATAAAGCCTTGACGTGTGGTGGAAGAGGAGCCAACAATTGCTGAAGACAGCCTCTGTCAGCAAAGGTATCCACACAAGGTACAGAAACACAAGGCCTCAAAGGTCTGACATTCGGCTGCATTTCCTTCCCGATTGGGATTAATAAAAGTCTAGCACGGGCCCATAGGGTCAGCAGTCATTTCTCCACCTGGGGAGGTTCTGTCTTCTCCTAGTAGGTACGAGGGCACCAGATGGTTGGTTTACAGTGTCCAGAGGACAATTCAGTTAGGATGAGACTGAAGAACTGCAAATAACAACTTCCCAATATGAGGAATAAAGGACAAAAACCCAAGCCCGTTGCCTCTGAGTTGTTTGCAGCTCATATGACCCTGGTAGAAACTCTCCTAGCATGTCATTTTCCTGTGAAGAGGCAGGCACCATCTGGGGAAGCCGAGTAACTCTGGAACCAGAGTCTGCAGACATCCCACCCCAGGTCTGACAAGATGGCCGAAGCCCTGGGAATTAATTGCTGGCATCTTTCAGAGAAAGGCCCAGAGCAAACCATGTTGGAGATGGCCACGGGAGGTGTGAGAATTTGGCAAGGGGCTCGAGTGTCTTTCCTAACACCCGTCATGTTCCCAGGTGTTCAGTTAGCAGACGTACTCTGGTGCTTCTAGAAGGCTGTTCTAAGACTCCCGAGTTAGACCTCCAGAGTTTCATATGGTCTGCTTTTTGTTCCTACCTCTAAAGCATGGGGAAATTCCAGTCTGGAGGTGAGCCAAGTCAGTGTTTGGTTTCCAAATACAGAGAGGCAGACGGACGTCATGAAAGCCCATGGAAAGAGCACCCTGGGACTCGCCCAGCCCCAGCGCAGCTCCACTCTCGAAGCAGACTTGCAGGGTGTTGCTTTCCATTGAGGGTCAGAGCTGGGGGGCTCGTACCCTTCCTTGGTTCAAGGAAACATCTAGTTGCCAGCAAGTCAATTCTGACTCATGGTGACCCCGAGTGTCCAAATAAAACTCTGTTCCACAGAGTTCTCAATGGCTGATGTTCAGATCACCAGGCCTTTCTTGTGAGGCAGCTTTGTGTGAACTCGAAGCTGTAGCCTTTCGATTAGCGGCCAGGTGTTAACCATTTACATCACCCACGGACTCCCAAAGAAACACACTGAGTGTGAGAATCACAGGGCCAGGCAGGACAGGGCCATCGTGTGAGGAAAGGTAAGATTCTCAGGTCCTTGGTTTCCCGCACAGAACACTGAGCCAAGAGCCGGCCCAGTGCCAATCTGCTCACCCCATCCCCCTGGCACAGAAGCCATCCGGAGGGCTATGCCTGGGTTTGCCGTGCACCAAAGAGCAGCACTGTCACCGCGGCTAGAGAGTCAATATTGAACTGTGAGCTTTGCAGATTAACAGGCTCAGGCTGGGACGCTGGATCTCATTCCTACTTCCTTTCCCTCTGTTCCTGATGGAATCCTACCTGGGAATGTTTGTTTCTCAGCCTGGCTTTTGGGCTCTAATTGCTGCTACTGTTTTCACACTGTCTGAGAGATTTGCCTTGTGGATTTACGATAATAATTAAAAACACTTCCTCAAAAAAACACCTATTGCTGTAGAGCCGATTCTGTCCCATAGTGACCCTACAGGTTGGAAAAGAACTTACCCAAGTTTCCAAGGCTGTAATTTTTTTTCCCTGTTTTATTTATTTTGTGGTTGAGAATATACACAGCAAAACACACACCAGTTCAACAGCTTCTACAACTGGGTGATGCTGAGGACATTCATCGAGCTGTGCAATCATTCCCATCCTTTTCTGAGTTGTTCCTCCCCCATTAACATAGACTCACCTGCTCCCTAAATTCCTATCTAATCTTTCAAGCTGTTGTTGTCACTTTGATCCCATATAAATAGTTCTTAAAAGAGCAGAATGCTCAAGGCAGACCAGTTTTAAGATGACTTCAGGGGATATTTCTGGTTGAAGATTTAAAGACGATCTCAGGACAATCATTTCAGGAATTCATTCACCCTCCATGGCTCCAGAAAGTCCACAGTTCCAAGGGTATAATCTTTACAGAAGCAGATTGCCACGGCTTTGTCCTGCAGAGCGGCTGGTGGGTTCAAACCACCAACCTTTTGGTAAGTGGCTGAGTGCTTAACTACTGTGCAACTGTGGTTCCTTTTACAACAATAAAGCAGACACAAAATATAGAAAGGACCTGATCTTTCCACTCGACATTTCCCAGGATTTAACACCTTTGCTTTCTCCTCCTTCAAGGCTTGAGACAGATCGTGGTCCACCTAGAAAGCATCCCGTTTCTAATCCAGTCCTGCTTCAGAGCTGAAGAACTGCAGCTGACGATATTACCCGTGAGACCCTTTCTTGGGCTGAAGCAATGAGTCTGGGCATCGGTGATGTTAGAAGTCTGGCCAAAGCCATCATTAAGCAGGACAGAGAAAGGAGCTAATTCATTTAGAGGTTGTGGGGGGAGACATACCTGAGCTGGAATCACATAATCCGCCACGTCCCAGACCCGGAATCCAAGTCCGGAGGTGTTGGTCACAGCAATGCCCTTGGCCTTGGTAGTAACTGAGCTGACAACCGAGTCCATTTCCTGGTAGCCCTTCTCCCACACAAACACCCACCTAGAAAAGAAAAGAGCCTTTTAAATTGCCATTAGGATGCGGTGAGTTTGAATCAATTTTAGGGAGCTTCTGTTAGCCAGAGGCTCAAAGATCACTGTTTACTGATTATGCAACTTTGTCAAAGCTCTTTAACTTCTGGGTGCTCCGTTTCCACTTCTGGAAAATGGGGTAGATTCAAAACAGAAAACCAAGCTATTGACACTGAGTTGACTCTGATTCATAGGGCCTCTATAGGAAGGAGTAAGCTGCCCCATAGGGTCTCCAAGGCTGCAGTCTTTACGGAAGCAGACTGTCCCATCTTTCTCTCGTACAGCAGCTGGTGGGTTCAAACTGCCAATCTCTGGGTTAGCACCCGGGTGCTTAACCATTGCATCACCAGGGCTCCTTGCTTTATGATTATTAGGAATGATTACTGTCACCATTTTACAGAGGAGAACAGGGAGACAGAGAGGTTAAGTAACTTGCCCAAAGTCATCTAGCTAGGGGGTATCAGCCAGAGTTTGCATCCAGGTCCTCTGCCTCTGAAGCTTGTTCTACTGCTCATTATGCTATACTCTCAATAAAAGTGATCTTTGTTCATTACCAGGGATGGGAGGGGAAGGGAGAGAACACTGCTAGATAGGTAGAGACAAGTATTGACTTGCGTGAAGGGAAGAGCAATGTACCGACAGTGAGTGATCAACACACTGATGTGGAGGAAGAAGAAGACAGACAGAGGTACATGTGAGGTACAGACAACAAAGATGAACCCTTTTTTGTGTACACTACTGCGTTGTCAGTGATGGCAAGCCTTGATCTACGGGTGGAGAGATGGGTGGGCAGGCTGAACGATCAGGTTTGTCTAAGCAGAGAGGAGTGTGCCCATGACCATATATAGGGTTAGCAGACGATGCTTCTACATGTGTATTTGTATGTGCTGTAAGAATGTCCAGGTGTATAGTAGAGCTGACAAGAAGCAAGGTTGTGGTGGCTTCTTGGCCACAGCCAGCTACCCCAAGGAAGTGAGAAGTTGGACCTGTGGGCTTGGGTTCATGGTTGAAGGGGACATCAAGCTCAATTGGCATAACATACTACACAAAAACATTGTTCTACATCCTACTTTGGTTAGTAGCAACTGGGGTCTTAAAAGCTTGCAAGCAGCCATCTAGATGCAATGATGGGTCTCTCCTCGTTCAGAGCAAAAAACAATGAGGAAGACAAAGGGAAACAAAGACACATGGAAACAATTAGTCCAAGGGATTGGTAGACCATGGGATCTTCAGCCTATATGACCATGAGACCAGAAGAACCAGGTGGTACCCAGCTATCACTGTCAACCACCTGGAGGGGGATCGGTGCAGGAGATCCTAGATAGAATGGGAGAGCAATGTGGAACAAAACTCAAAATCATTAAAAAGAAAAAAAAAAAAAAAGACCAGGTTTGCTGTTCTGATGGAGCCTGGTGGAACCTGAGACCATGTCCCCTAGCTGCTGGAATTGAACCCAGTCCTCTGGCTTCCAGCCATACAACACACAGGCATGTGGAGTGAACATTTACATCAGGTAGATACACACCTTGGAGAGATCAATCATGGAAGAACAGAAGGGCAGTGCTTGCACAAGGAGACAGCTGGGGTGGTGGGAGTGCATGGCAGGGAAGGACACAGGGAAGAGGTAACGACAGGGAGGAAGTGGAAGAGAGCTGGTTCGCTGTGGGGAATTGTGGTCAACTTCATGGAACAAAATATGTATGAACATATGCTGTATGGAAAATGAATTTGCTCTGTAAACTTTCACCCAAATCACAATTAAAAAAATAAGTGAATCCCAACTTTCGAGGAACTTTTATATAGGAGTTTCTTACTTTTCTCCAAGAATTCAGGTCACATATGTGCGTGTCTCCTCTGAAATAAGGACCCAAGTACCAGCCTGAATGATTACAAACATAAAGGCATTAGAGCCTAATGACTAGCACAGGCGAGCAGACTGGAGCCATGCAGTCTGGATCCATGCCTCAGCTCCCCCACTCACGAGGCCATGATCTCAGGCAAGTTGTTCAACATCTTTGCCTTGGTTTTTTCCCGTCTACACAATGGGAATGAAAAAGATCTTCCCGGGACTGTGGTGCTGGGAAATGAGTTAACGCGTGGTGAGTGCTTACGATGGCGAGAGCGTTCAGAGCGTTGCCCTGTGCTGCCAGCGCTGCCGGCAGCAGCTTGAGAAAGCCCACTGTTCAGTTTTCAGCAAGTTTTCTGGTCACCCCTAGATGCGGATTGAATTGTGTCACCCAAAGAGATACGTTGAAGGTCCTAACCTTGGGACCCTGTGAACATGACCTTGTCTGGAAAAGAGGGTCTTTGAAGATGTTATCAGTTAGTAGGAGGCCATACCTGAGTAGGACTGGTATCCTTATAAAAACAAGGAGCCCCTGTTGTGCAGTGGTTAAAGCATTCCACTGCTAACCAAAAGGTAGGCCGTTTGAACACACCAGCTGCTCCCGTGGTAGAGATGTGGCAGTCTGCTTCCACAAAGACTGCAGACTTGGAAACCCTATGGGCCGGTTCTAGTCTATATAGCATATAGGGTCACTAAAGTTGGAATTGACTTGATGGCAGGTTTTTTTTTTTTTTTTAAAGGAGAAGAGACACAGCGAGAATATGACGTGATACTGTAGTTTCACGGGGAATGCCTGGGGCTGCTAGAAGCTGGGGGAAGCAAGAAGGGATCTTCCCCTGGGGCCTTCAGAGAGAGCGCGGCCATTCAGAGTGTCGCCATTGAAAACTCTATGGAGCACTGTTCTTTCCGCCCTGACACACGGGGTTGCCATGAGTTGAGGTGGAGATGACTCAATGGCAGTTGGTAGTGTCAAGATTTCAGGTGCATCAGAATCCCTGGAAGGTGGGGGAGAAGTCATGAACCAGAGCCTGGGAGTGATTCTCATGTAGAGTTTATATCTGGGAAACCATGTTCTCAGATACCGTCAGTACCCACTGCTGCTAGGCTGTGTTGAAGCCTATTGTTTCTCGAACCTGCTGGATCTGGTGAGTCCCCTGCAACAATGTGAACAGATTCCAAGCCTCAACCCAGACCTACGAAGCAGGAACTCCAGCGAGACTCCAGGTGGCCTGGTGTTTTTATACAGCTGATCAGGTGAGTTGGGGAAACACGAGGTCAGTGGTTCCCAAACTCTGTTGCGTATCAGAATCACCTGGGAGTTAGTTGGGCATCCTCCGTACCAGTGAAACCAGAAGGTTTAGAGACGCGAGCCAGCAATCACCACTTTTTAAACATTCCCCAGTGGTTCCCATGTACAAAGTGTGGGGTCCACTGCACTAAGTCTTTTAAGAAAGAGCAGGTACATCCACCCGGTCAGCAGCTGTAGGTGCGACAGTCAGGTGACTCTTTAAAGTGGGCCCAGGTGGCAAGGTAATTTCCACCTCTGTCCAGTTTCATTAAACTGTAATGGGCTAGTTCAATCAAAATCCAACACTTAGTGAGGCCTCAAGCTGGCAAGAGTCCCTGGTGGGTGCAAACCATTAATGAGCATGGCTGCTTCCCAAAAGGTTGGAGGCCAGCCACAGGTGCCTAGGGAGAAAAGCCTGGTAACCTGCTTCTGAAAAACTAGGCCTATGGGATTTCGACACCCCTGGAGTCACCATGAGTTGGAACAGACTTGAGAGCAACTGGCTGGGAAGGTGGTAGGGTACCTGCGCCTAAGGCAGGGCAGGGGGAAGGTGAGGCGAAGGCAGGTCCACATAGCACAACGCCAACAACGCCACAACACAAAGGAGGTAAGCTTCAAATACCACATACAGAGTACAGCAACTTTTTGCAAGTCAGCCGTCTCCACCATCTCTGGGTGACCACAAGTGCTCATAGGAAAGGCCCGGAAGCCACAGACCCAACGGTAACCGACGGGAAATCCCAAGCCTTGTCAGCAGATCGTCAGAATGGGAGAAGAGCAATGATTGAGACAAACGTTTGGGGCAAAGGCTCCCACCGCCAAGAGGGCTCATAGAGAAACTCGAGGTCAAGAAGCAGGAAAGGCAAGAGGAAGGGCTAGCCAGGCGTTGCCCTTAAAACACAGCATGGATAAAACAAGCTCTTAAAAAATAAAATAAGAAAAGTAAAAATAAAAAAATAAAAACGCAGCATGGAAACAGCTCTTCGCCGCCGCCCGCCCTCCCGCTCGGGCACAGCTGCAGCCGCTCAGGCAGGGGAAGTGGGTGACACCAGGTGAGACCCCACCTGCAGGGCGCCCGCGGGCTCAGCCGAGGCCCTGGGCCACAGCCAGCAGGTGCGCCGGCCCCAGCCCCTCCCGGCGCGGGGACGCCGGGCTCACCCGATGACGTAGGCCAGGATGAGCAGCTGCACGGCGCGGTTCATGAGCCCCACTTTACGGCTGCGGATGAGCACGATGCGCGGCGTGTCGTACTCGAACAGGAAGCCTGCCAGCGCGGGGCAGCAGCCCGCCATGGTCGGCGGCCTCTGGAGCTCCCGCGGCCGGGGCTCCGCGGCCTGAGTCCTGCTCCCGCCGCCGCGTCCGCGCCCCGAGCCCCGCCCAGCTAGGCCGCCTGTGGGGACGGCCCGGAAGGAGGCGGCGCGTGCTGAGGAAGGGCCGGGCGGCGCGTGACCTCCGCTCTGGGGGCCGAGGAGAGAGAATGGCCCTCTGTCAGTGAGCCTCCCCTCGGAACGAGAGAGTCCTTCAGGAGGACCGCGGAGAATGACCCTCTCAATGACCTCCCCACCCCCCCAGGAACGAACGACTCCCTCAGGGAGCCGCGGAGAATGACCCCTCATTGACCTCCAACTTGGGAAAGAGCGACCCCCTTAAGGGAGCCAGAGGTATAAGTGACCCCAGCCCCTCAGGACATTCAACTTGGACAGACCCTACTTGGGAGAGCGGGGGGCAGCGGCATCTTCTCAACTGGGGAAGAAAATCAAATAGCATGTGCCCTAGCGGCCCAGGCGACGGCCACACATCCTGTCACATACTCCCAGTTGGAGAATTGGGAAATAGAGGAAATAATGAGGAAACACCCGTTGTCCCACTGTCCGAACACAATTCCCTACGTTAGTTCATCCCCTTCACATACGTTTTCATGTTGTGCTGTGGAGTCCGTTCTGACCTATGGCCACCCAGTGCTCAACAGAAGGGAGCATTGCCCAGGCCTGTGCCGTCCTCACAGTCGTTGCGATGTTTGAGCCCGTTGTTGTAGCCACTGTCAGTCCATCTCGCGGAATGTTTTCCTCTTTCTCACTGAACCTCACTTTACTAAGCATGATGTCCTTTGCCAGGGACTAGTCCCTCCTGATGACATGTCCAGAGTACAGAAATGGAAGCGTGGCCATTGTCCCCTCTAAGGAGCATTTTGGCTGTGCTTCTTCCAAGGCAGATGGGTTTGTTCTTCCACAGTCCATGGTCTATTCAGTGTTCTTTACCAACAGCGTATTCAAAGCCATCAGTTCTTTGTTCTTTATTCATTGTCCAACCTTCACATGCCTAGGAAGTGACTGGCTTGAGGCAGGTGCACCTTAGTCTGTAAGGGGGCATCTTTGCTTTTTAACATTTTGAAGAGGTTTTTTTTTTTTTTTTTTCCCCAGCAGATTTGCCCAGTGTAATATGTTGTTTGATTTTCTAAAATGTGTTTTTTTGAGGTATAATTTATGTACAGTGAAATACACAAAACTAAAGTGACATGGGTCAATGCATCTTTTTTTTTTTTTTTGCAGTGTTCCCTCCCCTTCCCTCCTCTACCCTCTCACCCCTGGTAACCAACAAAGAAAATTGCCCTCCATATATAAACCTTTCCTTGACCCTCTACAACAACAAACTAATACTATATTTGTCCTGTGATTGACTTATTTCACTCAGCATAATGTCCTCCAAGTTTATCCATGTTATGTGGTGTTTTGCAGTCTCTACATTATTCTCTAGTGCTGCATAGCATTCCATTGTGTGTATGTACCATGGTTTGGTCATCCACTCTTCCGCTGATGGGCATGTAGGTTGTTTCCATCTTTTTGCTATTGTAAATAGTGCTGCAATGAACATGAGTATGCATATATCTGTTCCTGTCCTGGCTCTCACCTCTCTAGGATATGTATCTAGTAATGGGATTGCTGGGTCAAATGGTATCTCCAATTCCAGCTTTCTAAGGAATCACCATATTGCTTTCCACAGTGGTTGTATCACTTCACAGTCCCACCAACAGTGTATGAAAGTCCCAATCTCTCCACATCCTACCAACATTTGTTATTTTCTGTCTTGTTGAACCTTGCCATCAGTGCTGGGATGAGTTAGTATCTCATTGCTGTTTTGATTTGCATCTCTCTAATGGCTAATGAGGAGCTCTGGTAGCGTAGTGCCTAAGGCACTTGACTGCTAACCAGGAGGCTGGCAGTTCAAACCCACCAGCCACTCCTCGGAAGGAAGGTTGGGCAATCCTACTTCCGTAGTGATACTGCCTTGGAAACCC